TGTCAGCCTGCATTTTTGAATGGGATGCAGCTGATGTTGCAGAATTGAGAAGGGCCAAGAGTGCGCAACTAACCCAGCAGGGTTGGCCTGCTTTGGCCGAGAGGGAGCTGGACCGACACATCACAAAAGATGAGCTTGCGCTGCACTGCAGGAGAAGGACCCGTGGAGAAGAGATATCTATCCGGCTTCTTGATCAGCTGCTCATGGAGCTCATGAATTGGAAGTGCGGACAGTTACGCACACAAGAGACTGGCCATAGCCAATACAAGGGCAAAATATATTGCCCAAACACTGAGACTGTCAGCAAAGAACAGTGGCTGGAGTGGATGAGAAAGTAATTAAAACCGCTGAACTCATGATACATTTCCCTGTTCTTGGTGTTATGTTTGCCTATGATGATTCTTATGTGTACTGTTTTAATAGGCATACTAAAGTTTGAACTTTTGATATTAATGTGAATATTTTGGGAAACTTTTGTATTATGTGTTTGTTTATATATATATGTATATATATATATTAACACAAAAGTTTGTTTTTTTAAAGCTTCACATGGCACAACTTCACAAGATTGTCTTTCTTTTCTTTGTTTCATATTGTTGTAAAGTTGTATTAATGCTGGATGTGATTGTTTGCTTTTATTATTGGTATTAACTACTAAAAGTCTGGTTTTTTGATATCTCTAAAATATCTCACTAAAATAAAGCAGTATACTGACATTATACTGACTGGAGTGCCATGTCTCTTCTTGGGTAAAAGGCCATATCTCGGGGAAAAAATACATAGGTTGAAGGAGGTGCTGTCTTGTTCAGATTCAGAATCAACTTTAATGGCCAAAGCCTGCTTCTGCATACAAGGAATTTAACTGGTTTACAAGTCGAGTCAATTTTATTTATATAGCGCCAAATCACAACAGAAGTTATCTCATGACACTTTTCATATAGAGCAGGTCTAGACCATACAGTAGTCTCTACTTATAAATATCACAAAAAAGTAATAGAAAAAAATGAAATTCAATAAAATAGGAATAATAGCAATAGAATAATCGAAGGAAGTATGTATACAACAATGTATGTTCAGCCATAACACCATACAAAAGTGTTACAGCTGTCATTGAAGTCACTGAACATAAAACGATGACATAATGTCAGCACAGAATGAAATATCAGGCTACACACTACTGACACCTTGTGATTGACTTCAGGTACTTTACAGCCATGAAAAACAATCGCGTGCGTTTATTGTTATAGTTATGAGTAATCGCGTAGTATTGATTTGAACTTGGATCTTAACTCATAAAAACAAATTATAAACATTTGCCACAAACGGGATTTGAACTCGCGCCACCTTTGTTTCTTCCCCCCTCCCCTTCCCCTTTTTCCTTCTTCTTCCCCTTCTCATATGGACAATTGTTCTCCAGTTTATTAAACTTTGGTAGGTAGAGAATCTGTAAAAAGGATTTTCTCTGGCCCCTCCCACTGACATTGAACTCAACCAATGAGATTGTTTCTGTCTCCAGAGCAGAAATGTTTGAGGAACTAAAAGCACAATCAGCTTGATGTTGAGGAGAAGGGCTGTGCAGCAGAGAGGCTCTTTAGTTTTTTCATTCTACTGCAGTGGAAGAACATTGCTCATCTGCTGTCAGTTTGACTTTAACAACTCCAAAGACATGTTGCTTTACCTCTTTTTACTTTTCTCTCACTTTATAGGTGAGTGTTAGAACAGAGATCAAAGTCTCATTTAACCTGCTGTGTTAACCAGATATTTGGTACTAGAGCTTTATCTGTGTAAGGTTACAATTTCCATGGTAGAAAAATACATTTGGTTTATTAAATGTATCTAAAAAGATGAAAGAAAAATAACTTGTTGATGTCAGAATGTCTTGCAGACTAACTGACATGAATAATACTCATTTTGCAGCCCTGGGTTCCATGAACATCATAAAGCCAGACAGTACTGAAGAACATGTTGCAGAGGGAAGAAACATCAACCTGACCTGTAAATATGATGGTGCTATCTACAATATCCAATGGTACCGACAATACCAGAGATCCAGACCAGAGTTCCTGCTCTACATCACAGAGGGAGGATCGATTCATCCAACTGATTCTGATTTCAAAGCTCACATTAACAAAACCGAGAAACGTGTACATCTGGAGATCATCTCAGCTAAAGTGACAGACTCTGCTGTGTACTACTGTGCTCTGCAGCCCACAGTGACAGGAAACACCAAAACTCTGTACAAAAACCTTTGGAGCAAAGACAACAGAATACTCCACAACATCCACTAGAGGGAGTCACACACTGTTACAACTACAGTGGTATGTGATGATACAGTCTGACAGGACTGAGATGTAAAGCTTTAGAAATTAAACTACTGACACTGCATTGTAAATTAAATTTCATCAAGATAACCAAGGTAACATTAAAATAAGAAGGATTATACCTTTCAGATATAATAAAGCACACTTCTTTATGAAGCAGTAAAGATACAGCACAAAATAAGGGAAATGTTACACATAAAGTCACTTTAACATGTGTGTAACATTTCACATTTCATCTCTCCAGTGATGTTACACATACTAATGTAATATTTGACGCTGAGCTTCCTTTTCATTTATGGACTAAAGTTGTACTGTGATGATGATTTTATTTTTAAAAATTCTTACATTTACAAACCCTGAAAAAGGTGATCCATCCTTTAAATCACTAATTTAAATCCAGTAAAAAAAAGAATCATTAACAGAAAACTTCCCACCTCCAGCTTTTGGAAAATGCTGCTACCAGTCTGTTAACCAGGAGGAAGAAAATACAGATCTAAGAGGAGAGGGAGAGATTCAGGGAGGAGCTAAGCTGTTACTGAACTATAGAAGAGAGAGGAACTTCCATATTCAGCAGAGTACAATACACAAACCAGAAACATTACCTTTATTCATCATGCTGTCACTGCATCATTGTGTGTTTTCTCTACTGTTTCTGTACTTTATAACAGGTATATTACATGCATCAAGATGGAGTCTTAGTGTTTGCAACTGTTACAACATTGTATAACAGAGTTATCTCTTCCTTTAGGTGTCAGCTGTGAAGAACTCACTCCAGTCAAGAAACAAGAGTTTAGTTTCAAAGACAGCACTGTTACTCTGTCCTACCATTATTACAAAGGTAATGATGATTATTTTTTCTGGTATCGACAATATCCAGGAAAACCACCAGAGTTCCTCATCTCTCATCTGAAATCAGGAGAAATCCTTGCAAAACCAGTCTCTGGAATGTCTGTTAAAGTGAGTGAGGATAAAAGCCAAATGGATCTGGAGATCTCCTCTGCTGCAGTGACAGACTCTGCTGTGTACTACTGTGCTGTGAGGCCCACAGTGACAGGAAACACCAAAACACTGTACAAAAACCTTTGGAGCAAAGACAACAGAATACTCCACAACATCCACTAGAGGGACTCACACACTGTCAAACTACAGTGGTATGTGACTGAGATGTAAAGCTTTAGAAATTAAACTACTGACACTGAAATAGAAAGGATTATACCTTTCAGATATAATAAAGCACAATTCTGAATGAAGTAGTGAAGCAGTAAAGATAAAGCACAAAATAAGTGAAATGTTATACATAAAGTCACTTTAACATGTGTGTAACATTTCATAAAATTATATCAACAATTATTGTTACATAGGCAAGTGCTGTAGATACAGGTCATAGGTCTGTACTCTTTGTGATTCATATAATACTAACAATCATGATATTATTAACTTCATTTATTTTAGTTTGAGTGAGTCCAGTAATTTGACACTAAACGTCTTTCAGAGACAGGTTATAAAGATTTGATTGAGTACATTTGACAATAATACTAAGTTACAGAGGACAGGGCAGATACAGGACAGAGGCCATGTTAAACAATTAGGACCTCTCTCATTTTTATTATCTTGCTTCTTCCCTCAGGTCTTGCAGGTTGATCAGTAATTGAGTGGTTTGAGTTCATGACTCAAGATGTTGCATTCTGTGCTTGGTCAAAGGTTTGCATCCCGACCATGGAAAACTTTCTGAGCTAGTTTGACATTAGGTCTACGAAATGTTCCAGATCTTTTCTAAATTATTAATTGTATTCAGTTGTTATGCACACTCAAACATATTTTAAACCCATCTTAAATTTTGATTGTTTTGTTATATATTCCAGTTAATCCAGTAATTATGATAGCAGTTTTATTATTTGTATTATTATTAATAATCATTATTAAAAACTAAAGATTTAACTCAGGACGTTCACGTGCTGTAAAGTGTCAGTCAGTGTGACCTTATCAGCTACTTGTTACCTGATGGAAATGATGTCATTAGTGAATAACAGCAGCACAGCAGTGACAAACACACTATTTGTCAGAGTTGTGAGAGGAAGGAGGGAGGGATTAAGGGAGGAGCAAAACTGAGACTCAAGTACAGAAAAGACAGAAACTTTCACAGTGGTGTTTCATCCAAAAAACAGACAGATTGTCTTTATCTTTAAGATGCTGTCAGTGAACTTCAGTCTGTTTGTGACTTTGTTTCTGCTCACAATAAGAGGTAGGTGAGATCATTAACATTAAAAGAGCTTCATTGATAAAAACCTTTAGATCATAAAGTTACAGAGTTATCTCTTCCTTTAGGTGTCAGCTGTGAAGAACTCACTGCAGTCAAGAAACAAGAGTCCAGTTTAGAAGACAGCACTGTTACTCTGTCCTACAAATACTCCACGACTATAACGGGTGTTGCCGATTTCTTCTGGTATCAACAAGAAATTGGAAAACCGCCAGAGTTTCTTCTGTACATCTCAGGACTCAACTTTACAAGAGCAGCGGAGTCTCAAAAATTCTCTTCTAAACTGTCTGGAGAAAAACATCTGGATCTGCAGATCTCCTCTGCTGCAGTGACAGACTCTGCTCTGTACTACTGTGCTGTGAGGCCCACAGTGACAGCAAACCCACAGTCTCTGTACAAAAACACAAGCTGACACACTGACAAGCTGCTGGAAGCCTTTTTTCCACACTGTTGGACTCAACTTTTTAGCTCCACTAGAGGGCGACATTATCAAGTAGGCGGTGCACTACTTCTGCACTGTGTTCAACCATTCTGTCAATAATAACTGCTGCTGTGAAGAGAACAATTGTCACACTGAATGTTGAACATCAGCTAGTTTCTCCTGTTGATTTAAACCTTGTTGTAGAGATGGAACATTGGCTGTGGATTATTCTTGCTGCTCTTTTCTTTGGTAAGATAGAAAGCACAACATGTTTTTATTCTTTTCTAAAGATTGATGGAAACTGGAGTTCAGAGCAGAAATCTCTCAACAGTTGAGCTGTTTCTGTCCACAGAGTAACACTGTACACTTGATATTTTCCACTGTCTTCTCCTCTCAGCCTCATGAACAATGTTAGTCTAATGGCTTCATTTTCTCCACTTTTTCCAGGACTAATAGCTGGAGACACAATCTCTCCTGTAGGAGATAGAGTCAGTGGAAGAGAAGGAGAATCTGTCACACTCAAATGTCAATATCAAACAACATCAAGTGGTCTTTACCTTCACTGGTACAGACATTCTGACCTTCAGGCTCCTCAGTTTATACTCTATAAAGGAGCAAAAGGATATTCAGCTGAATACATTCCAGATAAACGATATGAATCTAAAACAACAGATTCATCAACTGAACTGACCATCAGAAAACTAACCCTGGCAGACACAGCTCTCTACTACTGTGCTCTAGAAACACAGTGATACAAAGTGTAGAAGAGGCTGTACAAAAACCTGAACACAGATATCTGACTACTCTTCAAAGAGGAGGGAAGTGGTATTCAAACCACAGCTTCATATCAGATGGATTCTGCTAATTCCTGTTTTATCAGAGTCACTGTGGTTACAGCTGCTAATGAAACACTGTGGGAGGATTCACATGAGCAGCAAATCCACATCAATGACAAACCAACTGGATGATGCTTCAACACAAGACCATTTTACAGACTAAAAGACTTTTCAACGATTAAAGTTTTGTTAGTTGCAGCCTTAATCATGTTTTCTGTTCCAAGATTTCTTTAAACATGTTTCACACTCACAACAGTTAGAATGTCTGTACAGTGTGCAGTTTGGATGTTTCAGGAAGTTGTTTCTCTACAGACTGATTCAGTTGAGTTTTCTGCAGATTCCTCCTTCAGTCTGACCTTCTTGGATGATGATGACTTCAGCATCACTGTCATTTCTAAAGCTTCCATCAGCCTGAATGCAAACAGACCACAGCAAGAGGAGGAGCTACACAATTCATTTTGGAAGTGAAGAGCTGCTGTGTTCTCTCTGTTGTTCATTCAGTACAAGTGGAAATAATGCAGCTCTCTTTAGTTTGGATGATGATCTTCATCTTTCATACTGGTAAATCAACTTCAACAAGATATGTTAGACATGATTCAAAAACATTTCATGTTCTTTGCAAATTCATGAATGTTCTTCTTTAACTAAACTGGTTTCAAGCTGGTTTCAAGCTGTCTAAGATGGCGCCCCTGTGTTTGGCTGGCCGTCTCCCTCTGCTGAAAGTGCTACTGTTTTTCTTGTATCTGCTGTTTGTTGTACGGAGTGTGTCACATCTGCAGGTGTATGATCGCCTGACACTTCTTAATATTCCTGAATCTCTGGAAAAACTGCCAATTTGCGGCTTTGCTGGACACTCAAAGACGCTTCCGCCTTTCCTGGAGTCTATACCGCTACATCTACGGCGTCTTTCCTGCTGGTTACCTCGTAACAGTTGCCGCAGAAAACGCGGGAAGCGAGGGGGAGTCCTCATTAAACTGAAAATGTCTCTGGCTTCCTCCGTCCACGATCCCTGTCGTCTACCAGCTGGATCCTTCACAGACTACAGTGGCTACGATTTGCGGAGTTCTACGGAGTATAGATATCGGAGGCTCCGGCCGGTTCTTCGGGACACCGGGGCACTGCTCCCGTGTTGTCGGCCAGTGCGGATCTCCCAGCGGGGCTGTGTGCCGGGAAATCTTCGCTCGCTCAGTCGCTTCTCTTGCCAGACTGACCGATGCTCAGTTCACACGGCCCTGATAAATACCAGATCTCTTACAAATAAGACATTTATTTTAAATGATTTTTTTACAACACATGATCTGGATTTCCTCCTGTTGACAGAGACCTGGTTGAAGCCAGGTGAGAACAGCGCCTTTTCGGAGCTCCTCCCTCCCGGCTGTTCCTTCTTCAGCACCCCGTGAGCTGCCGGTCGTGGGGGCGGTCTGGCCGCTATATTTAAGGAGAGCTTCAGATGCCGGATGATAACCGCTAATAATTACTCCAGCTTCGAATTGCAGCTGTTCGTGATCGACTTTACCTGCCCTGTGCTGTGTGCCACAGTTCATCGCCCACCCAGATTTAATAAGGACTTTCTCCAAGAGTTCTCTGAGTTTTTGTCTGAGTTTATCCCAAAGTTTGATAAACTGTTGATTTGTGAAGACTTTAATATTCATGTTTGTTGTGCAGCAAATCAACTGGCCAATGAATTCAAAGGCCTTCTAGTTTCTTTTGATCTCACTCAATCTGTTAATGCACCAACATGAGTATGGGCACACTCTTGACCTTGTCATTTCTCATGGGCTTTCAGTTTCCCTCAGAGAAATAGTCGACACTGCTATCTCGGATCACCTCCCTGTTGTTTTCGACTTTGCTGCCCCCCACCTGCCAATAAGCCAGTTTCCCCAGCTCGCAGACGCCGAATCTTTACTCCATCAACGGCTGGGGAGTTTGCTGCTGCCTTCAGAAACTCTCAGCTGCTTGATGACTGTGGGCTGGTTCCTCCCCTTTGTCCAGACAGCCTACTCTCCACTTTCTATTCAACATGTTCTGCGATTCTTGACTCTGTTGCCCCTTTTCGGCAAAAAACTACCAAAACCAAGTCAGATCCCTGGTTAAATGATCACACCCGTCTGCTCAGACAACAATGCAGACAGGCTGAACGGCGGTGGAAAAAGGATAAACTACATGTATCCCTGGGCTGGTTAAGGGACAGTTTGGCTGCCTATCAGAGAGCTCTAAAGGAAGCCAAGTCCAAATATTTGTCCTCCATTATAGCTAACAGCTCTCATCATCCAAGACTGCTATTTAATACTATTGATTCTGTCGTTAATCCACACCCTACTGTCCTGTCCGATGCCTCCACTGCAACCTGCGAAGAGTTTGTGTTTTTTTTCACTGATAAAGTGGCATCTGTCAGGCGGAATATCTGTAATATGAATATGTCTCTTGATGATGTCTGTGCTCCTCCGGCACAGACTGCTGTCTTCGAGCGGTTTGAGACCATTTCTCTGTCTTCTTTTACTAAGGTGGTTAGTGGCATGAAACCCACGAACTGTCCCTTAGATATTATTCCAGCCAAGTTTTTGAAGGAGGTTCTGAGTTCTGTTGGGTCAAGTCTGCTTGTTTTTATAAACACTTGTCTTAGCTCAGGGTCTGTTCCAGCTGCCTTCAAACACGCTATGGTTAGGCCCCTCCTAAAAAAAACGCATCTTGACCCCTCTGTGCTCTCCAATTTTAGACCTGTCTCCCACTTGCCTTTTCTTTCTAAGGTTTTAGAAAAAGTTGTTTTTATTCAATTACAGACATTTTTGGAGATCAATTCTATTCTTGATAAATTTCAGTCTGGTTTTAGATCCCGACATAGCACCGAGTCAGCACTGTTAAAGGTGCACAATGATATTGCCTTGTCTGTGGATGCTGGGAATCCTGCTGTGCTTGTGCTGCTGGACCTCACAGCAGCCTTTGATACAGTCGACCATGCAGTCCTTGTATCTCGCTTAGAGCAGCACGTTGGCATCCGTGGCCCCGCTCTCCAGTGGTTTAGGTCATACCTGGCAAACAGGAGTTTCTCTGTCTCGATTGGTGACCACTGCTCCTCAAATGTATCGCTGCCCTGTGGGGTGCCACAGGGATCTATTCTCGGCCCTATTCTGTTTTCATTGTATATGCTACCTCTGGGATCAATTATAAAAAAACACAACCTGTCTTTTCACTTTTATGCCGATGATTTGATCATCATATATTTGCCCATGACACCAAACGAAAACACTGCACTTACTAAGCTGCTGGACTGCATCACAGATATAAAACAGTGGCTGTCACAGAACTTTTTGCACTTAAATGACAGCAAAACTGAATGCATTTTGTTTGGTTCACCAGCTATGTCGAATGTTCTCACCACAAATTCTGGCACTCTGGCCCCTCTTTTTAAATCACATGTCAAAAATTTTGGGGTAACATTTGATACTGGGCTCAAATTTGACAAACAGATTAGCTCTGTTGTCAGTACGAGCTTTTTTCAGCTCCGTCTTTTGGCCAAAGTGAAGTCTTTTCTCAGTCGGCAGGATCTTGAGAAGGCAATCCATGCTTTCATCAGCTCAAGACTGGACTACTGTAATGCCCTTTACGTCGGCCTCAGTCAGTCCTCAATTTATCGTCTCCAACTTGTGCAGAACGCTGCTGCCTGATTTTTAACTAGCACGTCCAGACACGAACACATTACTCCTGTGCTGTCATCACTCCACTGGCTTCCAGTCCGTTTTAGAATTGATTTTAAACTTTTGTTGTTTGTTTTTAACACCATTAATGGCTTGGCCCCCTCTTACTTGTCAAGGATTTTAACTTTTCGCAATTCTGGCAGAGCCTTGCGCTCTTCGGGTCAGCTTCTGTTAGAGGTCCCTAGGTCCAGACTTAAACAGTGGGGCGATCGTTCTTTTGCCGTCGCTGCTCCTAGACTGTGGAACAAACTGCCCCCTGACATTCGTACCACTACTGATCTCGGCCTTTTTAAATCGCAGCTTAAGACCCACTTTTTTAGATTAGCATTTAATTCTGACAAGGACAGTACTGTCTCTTAGGTGTACTCTTTTTATCTGCTCCTTTCTGTGCATTTCTGGAAGGCTTTTAATACCCTGCAGTACTGCAGCACTACAGTACTTTAAATTGTATTTGTATATTATATATGTGTTATGTATTGTTTCATGGCTTTGTTGTAAAGCACTTTGGGTACCTTTCGGCTATTGTAAAGGGCTATACAAATAAACTTGATTTGATTTTTGATTTGATAAACTCACTTTAGAGAAATACAGACGTGACAGTGAAATATATCTTTGTTCTTTTCAGGATCCTCTGAGGATTTAGTGAAACCATTTAAAGATGTAATGCTGGCTTTGGAAGGAGACACTGTGACTCTCTCCTGTAAATATTCAGACTCTGTTGACAACCTCTTCTGGTATCAACAGAAGTCCAGTTCACCTCCACAGCTTCTCATCATGGAATATTCAGAGAAAATAGCAAGGTTGTCTTTAACACATGACAAAAATTCAAAGGAGTTTCATCTGCAGATCTCCTCTGCTGCAGTGTCTGACTCTGCTGTGTACTACTGTGCTGTGAGGCCCACAGTGACAGGAAACACCAAAACTCTGTACAAAAACCTGACAGCTCCTCACTGAAGATTTACACACTCCAGCTTCTGCTTTTACTGAACAACAGCCCCATCAAGTGGACACTGATAATAAGATCCAGTGATTAAATAAATAGTTATTCAGTTAACAGTCTGTCTTAAAACAACATTCACATGTTCATATGTACATTAAAACATGATTCTTTCTGTAATCATTCCTCCTGTTCATACTGGTCTTTAAAATATATTTTCCTGATGTCAATTCCATCCTAGTGATGGGGGACAAACTCCATAGTCCTCGTTCTGTACAGAAATATATTCCAAAGTTCCCTGGACAGTGTTTGCTAACTGAGCTGTGGTGGAGGGATAATAACACTGTTGGGCCTGGCCATGTGCTCAGACAAAGGGATTGTCATTACTACAGCCGGCCTTGGTGTAAGTAATAAAGCCTGTTTGTGGTGAGTAAAAGCCATAAAAGAAAGGGCCCGTCAAATCACAGACCCCTCAGTTGGGGGGCCAAGGTGTGGCATAAAGGCAATAAACACCCAAACACCGGCCCGTCATTGGTCAGATTCCCTCTGACCCCAGGCCTGTCATCCCAGGTATAAAAGCCCGAGAGACTCTCTCCTCCCCGTTTCTCGCTCGAGATTAACGTCCGTTTAGGGACTGTTCTCGTAGCACTAGACAGCATCCTCTTTATCTTTTCAAAACTCCTTTTTATTTTTCATAAAGTGTGCCATTTGTCTTCAAACTCGCTGGACAAGCCAGACTGTTACACCTTTTCCCTCCCTTCTTTAACGATCGTCAATTAATCCGGGATCCCGCAGAGACAGCAGGCAGCCGCTGTTCTCTTTAAGTTAACTGCAGAAGGACGAAGATCTTCCGTCTGGAGAAACACCGATCACTGATCGCTGCTTTCTTCCCATAAGGCGACCACGCTGATCCTGTACGCTGCCAAACGAGAATCATGCCCCCTACTGAGCACGACAACACTAAGAGGGAATTTCATATTTAAAAAGTCTTAAACTTTAGAAGAAACCCACCAGATCTAACTGCTGAAGCCTCATATTAACTTCAACTGTGTTATCAGTTGAGGGGAATCCATCATCCTCTGTGAACCATGAATATCTGGATAAAACTTCATGACAAGCCAATCAGTAGTTTTTGAGATATTTCACTTCTGAATATAAATGAGATGTAAATGTAGAGAGTTCCTCAACAGATGATAAAGAGGAAGGACCAATGATGTGAAGGCCCAGATCCATCAGAGTATCAATGTTCTTCCTCTCTCTCCTCCCCTCTCACTGCAGACATGAAACACTGGCTGAGAAACATCCTGATTCTGACTCTCTGGCTAGGTAACTCTTTAAACCTACTGATTGTTCTCCTTTAATCAATCATCTTTATTGATTCATCTCTTCCTCTGCATGTTCTCTTCTTCCCCAGAGTGTAAAGGAGAAGACAGAGTGACCCAGCCACCAGGAGATGTCATTGCTACTGAAGGAGAGACAGTTACACTTGGATGTACATTTGAGACCAGTTACCCAAATCCAACTTTGTTCTGGTACAAACAGGATGGAAACAACAGCCCCAAATTCATACTGAGCCGCATTCAACGAGATGAAGGGAACACAGCAGCTGAGTTCAAGGAGAGATTTTCATCCACACTGAATTCCACCTTAAAATCAGTTCCTCTGAAGATCCAGAAGCTTCAGCTGTCTGACTCTGCTGTGTACTACTGTGCTCTGCAGCCCACAGTGACAGGAAACACCAAAACTCTGTACAAAAACCTTTGGAGCAAAGACAACAGAATACTCCACAACATCCACTAGAGGGACTCACACACTGTAGAAAAGGCCCCAAAGTTGGGACATATTATGTTTAGTTTGTGATGTTTTATAGATGTACTGTTGGTCAGCTCATATAGCTCATATATTAAACACCTGCACTATCCATTACCTGCCTCTTCATTTGGACCCTCTGAAATTGAATTGGCCTTAAGTTGGTGTTCTGGCCGGCACCCGAGTGTGAACTCAGTGATAGCCCCAGAACTAATGCCAGATACAGTATACTGCCAGTGTCTTCACTACACACACTGTCAAACTACAGTGGTATGTGATAATACGGTCTGACAGGACTGAGATGGAAAGCTTTAGAAATGAAACTCCTGACACTGCATTGGAAATGAAATGTTATCAAGGTAACCAAGGTAACACTAAAATAGAAAGGATTATACCTTTCAGATATAATAATCTATATATATCTGAATGAAGTAGTGAAGCAGTAAAGATACAGCACAAAATAAGGGAAATGTTATACATAAAGTCATGTACATGTGTGTAACATTTCATAAAATTGTATCAAAATTATTGTTACATAGGTAAGTGCTGTAGATACAGGTCATAGGTCTGTACTCTCTATTTGTTTCATATAATACTAACAATCATGATATTAATAACTTAATTTTATTATCAGCAGGCTGAGGGCAGCAGACGCCAACAAGATCAGCAGGATCACCAGGAAGGCTGGCTCCATCCTGGGGCTCCAACTGGACTCTTTGGTGGTGGTGTCTGAGAGGAGGATGCTGTGTAAACTGCACAGTATCCTGGACAACAACGCTCACCCTCTCCACCAGGTGCTAACCTCGAGCAGAAGCACCTTCAGCAACAGACTCATTCCCCCCCAATGTAACACTGAACGCCAGAGGAAGTCTTTTCTTCCTGTGGCCATCAGACTGTATAACTCATCTACCTCCGGTCGTGAGAGGGACAGTGAAGACACTGTGTCCTGACCAATGTCACTTTGTCACTTTATCATTTTTACCCATCATATCACTTCGTCACTTTATCTTGTGTGTACTATGCTGATACAATTGTATCACTTTATCACTGTTTATCACTTTAAACAACCCCTCACTATATTTAGTTGTACTTATTTATTTATGCGGCTAACTGCACAGTGCGTATTGTTTTATATCATATATACCTACATTAACTGTCATTTTTGTGGCATTGCTGCATTTAGTTACTTGTTTTATTTTCTTACTCTTGTATTACTTGTATTATTTCTATTCAACTATTGTCATTACCAATACTGTTGTTGCTGTGCACCTGTCTGTCTCTCTCTCTCTCTCTCTGTCTCTCTCTCTCTCTCTCTCTCTCACCCCAACTGGTCGAGACAGACGACCACCCACCTAAAGTCGAAGGATCTGTCCTAGGTTTCTGCCTTTTAACAGGCAGTTTTTCCTTGCCCTTGTCTCCAAGGTCTTGCTCATGGTGGTACTGTTGGGTCTCTGTAAATAATGTTATAAAGAGTTCGGTCTAGACCTGCTCTATTTGAAAAGTGTCCTGAGATAACTTCTGTTATGAATTGGCGCTATACAAATAAAATTGAATTGAAATTGAATTGAACTGTTGCACAGCAATTTCCCTTGGGAAAATAACGCTTCTTGAATCTTAAATCTTGAATCTTCATTTCATTTATTTTAGTTTAAGGGGGTTCAATCATTTGTCACTAAACATCTGTCAGAGACAGGTCATAAAGATTTGATCGAGTACATTTGACAAGAATACTAAGTTACAGAGGACAGGGCAGATACAGGACAGAGGCCATGTTTAACAATTAGGACCTCTCTCATTTTTATTATCTTGCTTCTTCCCTCAGGTCTTGCAGGTTGATCAGTAATTGAGTGGTTTGAGTTCATGACTCAAGATGATGCATTCTGTGCTTGGTCAAAGGTTTGTATCCCGACCATGGAAAACTTTCTGAGCTAGTTTGACATTAGGTCTACGAAAAGTTCCAGATCTTTTATAAATTAGTAATTGTATTCAGCTGTTATGCACACTAAAACATATTTTAAACCCATCTTCAATCTCGATTGTTTTGCTGAAAATGTGTGGTTATATATTTCAGTATAATCAAGTAATTATGGTAGCAGCTCTATCATTATTATAATAATAATAATAATTATTATTATTATTATTATTATTATTACCATATTATTATGTGTAAAGTGTTGCTGTTTCAGACCTTTATACAACTGAATTTTGCTAAGCTTTCCGTTGAAATTAAACAACAGTACAGTATTAGTCTGGGTATAATATTTTACACTGAGCTTCCCTTTCATCATCAGCTGACTAAAGTTTTACAATGATGAAATAATGTTTCCTTTTTTCTTTTCTTTGAATGTGATAGAAGCAAAACATCTTCCTATAAAAAAATTCAAGTTTGTAGGTGATCTATTTTTGTTAAATACCCATGATGTAATTTTTCCACAAATGTGACTCTAATGTAATAATGCTTGTGTAAAGTATTTAATAAGTAATGAATATGGTTGTCATGTGTAAATGAACAGTAGCATATTGTCGGACTAAAAATTGAACTCAGCCAGGACCTTCACGTGCTGTAAAGTGTCAATCAGTGTGACCTTATCAGCTACTTGTTACCTGATGGAAATGATGGCATTTTGTGAATAACTGCAGCACAGCAGTGACAAACACACTATTTGTCAGAGTTGTGAGAGGAAGGAGGGAGGGATTAAGGGAGGAGCAAAACTGAGACTCAAGTACAGAAAAGACAGAAACTTTCACAGTGGTGTTTCATCCAAAAAACAGACAGATTGTCTTTATCTTTAAGATGCTGTCAGTGAACTTCAGTCTGTTTGTGACTTTGTTTCTGCTCACAATAAGAGGTAGGTGAGATCATTAACATTAAAAGAGCTTCATTGATAAAAACCTTTAGATCATAAAGTTACAGAGTTATCTCTTCCTTTAGGTGTCAGCTGTGAAGAACTCACTCCAGTCAAGAAACAAGAGTCCAGTTTAGAAGACAGCACTGTTACTCTGTCCTACAAATACTACAAACAAGCTGATGTAACTGATTATTTCTTCTGGTATCGACAATATCCAGGAAAACCACCAGAGTTCCTCATCTCTCACTCAGGAACAGGAACATTAACGTCTAACCCAGTCTCTAGACTGACAGTTACAGTGAGTGAGGATAAAACCCAAATGGATCTGCAGATCTCCTCTGCTGCAGTGACAGACTCTGCTCTGTACTACTGTGCTGTGAGGCCCACAGTGACAGCAAACCCACAGTCTCTGTACAAAAACACAAGCTGACACACTGACAAGCTGCTGGAAGCCTTTTTCCACACTGTTGGACTCAACTTTTTAGCTCCACTAGAGGGCGACATTATCAAGTAGGCGGTGCACTACTTCTGCACTGTGTTCAACCATTCTGTCAATAATAACTGCTGCTGTGAAGAGAACAATTGTCACACTGAATGTTGAACATCAGCTAGTTTCTCCTGTTGATTTAAACCTTGTTGTAGAGATGGAACATTGGCTGTGGATTATTCTTGCTGCTCTTTTCTTTGGTAAGATAGAAAGCACAACATGTTTTTATTCTTTTCTAAAGATTGATGGAAACTGGAGTTCAGAGCAGAAATCTCTCAACAGTTGAGCTGTTTCTGTCCACAGAGTAACACTGTACACTTGATATTTTCCACTGTCTTCTCCTCTCAGCCTCATGAACAATGTTAGTCTAATGGCTTCATTTTCTCCACTTTTTCCAGGACTAATAGCTGGAGACACAATCTCTCCTGTAGGAGATAAAGTCAGTGGAAGAGAAGGAGAATCTGTCACACTCAAATGTCAATATGAGACAGCATACAGCAATATTTACCTTCACTGGTACAGACATTCTGACCTTCAGGCTCTTCAGTTTATACTCTTGAAAGGAGCAAAAGGATATTCAGGTGAATACATTCCAGATAAACGATATGAATCTAAAACAACAGATTCATCAACTGAACTGACCATCAGAAAACTAACCCTGGCAGACACAGCTCTCTACTACTGTGCTCTAGAAACACAGTGATACAAAGTGTAGAAGAGGCTGTACAAAAACCTGAACACAGATATCTGACTACTCTTCAAAGAGGAGGGAAGTGGTATTCAAACCACAGCTTCATATCAGATGGATTCTGCTAATTCCTGTTTTATCAGAGTCACTGTGGTTACAGCTGCTAATGAAACACTGTGGGAGGATTCACATGAGCAGCAAATCCACATCAATGACAAACCAACTGGATGATGCTTCAAACACAAGACACCATGGAAACAAATAAATCAACACTGAAAATTAAAATGAGTAATATGTGACATCTGAACAACAACGTGTCTAACATTCAATCTTTTAGTTAAATAAATAGATTTGTGACCTGATTTTATGTATCTGAAGTGCATTTATCATACATTGTTTTATTCTTTTCTATTTATTTCCCAACATTTACCAGGTCAGACTGGGTCCGGTATTTTATAGCTCAAATATTCAGTCATATACTGAGCATACTGATCTGTTACCAGCTGGACTGGGTACAGTCTGCATTTTTCTGGGCAGAAGTCCACCTTTACAGTTTCTGGTCTTTAACATTTTTATTCAGTTTTGGTTGAACTGTAGTAAATGATGGACTGTTAACTGGCAATCATATAAGACAGGGCTGTGAATGAGTCCTGTCAGTGAGATCATTTCAATTTCAATATAGTTTTGTATTAAGTTAGTAAGTGTGTAATTATATTTACTGTTAATTTACTCCTCTACTGATAAATCATACAGTTTGAATCAAGTATCTCCATAAACTGGTTGACAACCCAGACTCAGGTTTTGATTGCTCCTGTCTTTACATTTACTAAAGAAGTTTCTGTGATTGTGGTGTACCACAGGGTTTGATTCTGGGTCCTGTTCATTTCTATTTTGGTAAATGCATTTTAAACACAATATATGTTTCCATTGTTTTACTGACAATGATGTATTCCATAAATTTACATGATTATTATTCTATTAAAATTGTTTATCATTGATTCCACCTTTTATAGTTTCTCTACAATGAGTTTGCACATCACACTGCTGTGAAATGAAAGAGACCTGAATTTGAGTCTGGAGGAATCAATGATGGAGTTAGTAGCTTTAAGGAGCTTTCAACCAAGTATAATGGTTCAGGGTTCATCCAAAGAGAAAGACTGGAGTGGTTTCTGATAACACATTAAATAACTATGGGGAACACTATATTGTGAAACAGCAAGAACCCTGAACAAGAGACTGAATGAACAACAGAAACAGACAACATCAGCTGTCTGAGAACTCCAGACCAAAATCAGTCACAGCATTGACTGGGAAGGAGTCAAAGTCATCGACCACAAGTCATCCACCACACTGTAAGAAAGTAAAATTAAAGTAAAATACCCTAATTCAAATAATGTGTAAAAACATTAAATTTACAGGAAATTACATTCAAATGTTTACAGAAAAATACCGTTATTTTACAGATTTTTCCCAAATAATTATGATCAATCACCTCCAATAAAGGGACAATGCTAAAAGTTCTGCAGGAAAATATGATTATTTTACAAATTTTTTCTAAATTATTACGATCACACACCAAAATATGATCTTCAAAATTACTGTGAAATATCCTCAACTGAAAACATACTAAAGCAATACATAATAGATACAGCTAAAGGTTTTCACTGTTTCAATTAAAATGTTGTGGGAAATTAACTACAAATAAAGTAATCACCACTATTGATTCTAAAATCCTTTTATTTTTTGTATTCAGATGTCAATTTACAATATCAACCAATTATTCACAAACAGTTCTTTAGAGCCCCCCAGGAGGAACTGAAAAACTAAATGTGTGTAACATGTGTGTCTGTTAGCATTTCTATCAAAATGAGGTCAAGATTTCACCTTTGAAATGGATGGAGGAAGCAACAAATTGTGTTGTTGAGCTGAGGGAGTTGTGGTCTTCTTCTTTATTCTCCTAACCCTTGGGGGCTCTGTATAAGGTAGTTCTGATAACATCTGTGGAGAAGCATTACAGTCTTTTAATTAAGAATCCTAACTATACAGTGTATTATTAAGTAAAATGAAAATATACCACAAAGGGTCAATGAATCTGTAACAGAGGTACAACACAGCAGAAAAAGCAGAAAAATCTGAATCCTCCTCCAAATTGGCAGAAATCGTCTGGATCTTTGATGCTCCTGGAGGGGACACACACAGAGAGAAACTATTACTGAAAGGTCTTTACTGTAAAAAGTAGGATTTTATTTATAGTTCATTTTAAATGAACACTGCTGGAGTTTCACAAGAAATCAGTGTTGTAGCATTTTCCCAAACAACTGCAGAAAATAGTGACTACGTTTTAAATGCAAAAAACAAGTGAAGAATCCTCAGGTTCTGAGCTCTGCACTGTGGTCAAGCAAACCCACACCCACAGATCAAACAGTGTGTACGTCAACGCAGCTCCCAGCTAAGAAGCTACAGTGAAGATTTCTGCTCAACACATGGTGTAAATGACGACTTTTCAGGTCAACTTGGCATGTCTGGACTTTGGAAAACTTGGATTAGGATAGAGAAGCAGTATGAAGGCCTTTTTATGTTTTTGTAAAGTTGTTTTTTAACGTTTGAAACAAAGCCGCTGTTGACTACAGCTGTTTGGGAGGATGCAGCAAGCTGTTTTCATGTGAAACTCCAGGAGTGTTTTGTGAATTGAAAAAAATAACCTGACCTTCTTTCAGCATGAGGGTTAGGTAATGACTGATTTTAATTTAAAGTGAACTACTCTTTTAAACAAACTTCATTTAAATTGATGAGACATTATAGTTAAAGGCTTTTACTCAGAAAGGATGTTAAAGTGGCCATTGGACTGCAGAGCTATTTCCTGGATAACTTTGGGGAATGACTAGCCAACTTACATTACTGTGTTACAAAGACTACTGGCCAGCATGATGGGAAAGTCATAGAAAACAGGGATTCATGTTAATGTGTGGAATGGGATTCATGTTTGAACCACTATGTACATTTTCATATTTGAAAGAAGTTGTTTAACCATTGTTAACCATTCGGCACCACTGGATTCATACACAGCATAGATGAGTACAATATTGTTTGTCTTTGTGCTGACAAACTGGCAGTAATATGGCCTCTAGTATGCACATTATCCATTCACAGTCTTTATCAGGATAACATGAATACTCACTGGCTCTGAAGATCTTGTGGCAGGAGACTTTTCATTTCCAAAATGTCTGGATCATGAGGGGAAAACACACAGACAAACAAACAATATTAGCCAGTTTACTGTTGGAGACATAGACATGCAAAATATTACCCAACAGCCTCACACATACATTCATTCTTACATAATATCTTATTATGACTGATGTGAACTTGGTTTCATTCTCTGTATGTTTTGCCTCTGCTTGCCGACCTGTCTCTGGGTTTAATGCTGCACCCCAGCAGCCGGTGATATCTTGTCACTCCTGGTTCTTCAGCCTTCTCATGATCACACAGGTGATGCACACCTATAGGTTCTGACACAGTGAAGAATATGGTAAATGGATTGTTCTTGCATATATAATGCTTTTCTAGTATTATCAACCACTCAAAGCACTCTACAATACATGTCTATCATTCAGCCATTCACACACTGATGGCAGGCTCTACCAGGGAGCCAACCAGGACAAGATTAGCCTAAATCCTCTAACAGTTACACAATGTTTGTGTAGGTTAACATTTTGGATGTTATAACAAGGTTTTAATGGGAAATAGTCACATGTGACCATCTAAAGGGAGGGATAGGCAGGGCAAACACTTACTCCAGTTAGTTCTAATGAGCATTACATTACATTAGACCAGAGTCATCACACACACACACACACACATACACACACACACACACACACACACACACACACACACACACACACACACACACACACATGGTGAGACAGCCAATAGCAATTGTTTGAGCGGGATAACTCACAGAAAGATGACTTCAGAATCAAAATCATAAATCAAATATTTTAGTGACCCCAATATTGGGAAATACCTTTGTATTATTCATAATAATAATAATAATAATAATAATAATAATAATAGCAGCATCAGTTAAGTCCACACTAAATCACATATAGCAAAAAGTTTCTGCTGCACTGCTTTCTTCATGTTGGATTTTTGGTTTTTTATTTTTTTATTTACAAATTACAGTGGGTAAAATCTTAATTCATTGTAAACCTGTGCACAGAGCTTTGATGTCTCTCTCTGTCTCTCCATCTGTTTCTGTCTGTCTCTCTGTCTCTGCCTCTTTCTCTCTTGAATGTAAAACCACAACTAATGAGATTAACCTTAAAATTGCAGAAAAAAATCTTAGTAGTCAGTATGGAAATAAACCTTTATATAACGAGCAAAACATTTAATAACGGTCAAATATCGTAATTATTATTGTAATTTTCTGTAAAAAAGGGAAATAACTGTAGTTTGTCATTATTGGCATAACACATAAAATAACAGGCGGGTTGTTAATTTACAGATAACGTCTGTAATTTTACTGTTTATTTACACTTTCTTAAAAAAAAACGGAAAAACTAGGATTTTTTTGTGTGCAAAAGTGCATCTTAACAAACAAAGACAAGGTAAAGGATAAAGACATGATGGCTTCTAGCTAAGGCTGATTCAATATATCCAATATTAATGTTTGCTGTAATTATTATTATGGAACTATAAAATGTCCTCCATGTTCCCAGAATAAAGACTAAATCTTCAGGTGATCCAGCTTCTTTCTACTGTGACCTGCCTTGGTCTCACAATGGTGTGAAGAACTGAAACTGGACATTCAGCAAACATTTCTCTGAGGCAGAAACAATGTCATTGGTTACATTAAACTTTGGTAGGCAGAGAATCTGTAAAAAGGATTTTCTCTGGCCCCTCCCACTGACATTGAACTCAACCAATGAGATTGTTTCTGTCTCCAGAGCAGAAATGTTTGAGGAACTAAAAGCACAATCAGCTTGATGTTGAGGAGAAGGGCTGTGCAGCAGAGAGGCTCTTTAGTTTTTTCATTCTACTGCAGTGGAAGAACATTGCTCATCTGCTGTCAGTTTGACTTTAACAACTCCAAAGACATGTTGCTTTACCTCTTTTTACTTTTCTCTCACTTTATAGGTGAGTGTTAGAACAGAGATCAAAGTCTCATTTAACCTGCTGTGTTAACCAGATATTTGGTACTAGAGCTTTATCTGTGTAAGGTTACAATTTCCATGGTAGAAAAATACATTCGGTTTATTAAAATTTATCTAAAATTTATCAAAGCTGATCATTTCTGTGGAGTCTGTTGATGTCAGAATGTCTTGCAGACTAACTGACATGAATAATACTCATTTTGCAGCCCTGGGTTCCATGAACATCATAAAGCCAGACAGTACTGAAGAACATGTTGCAGAGGGAAGAAACATCAACCTGACCTGTAAATATGATGGTGCTATCAACAATATCCAATGGTACCGACAATACCAGAGATCCAGACCAGAGTTCCTGCTCTACATCACAGAGGGAGGATCGATTCATCCAACTGATTCTGATTTCAAAGCTCACATTAACAAAACCGAGAAACGTGTACATCTGGAGATCATCTCAGCTAAAGTGACAGACTCTGCTGTGTACTACTGTGCTCTGAGGCCCACAGTGACAGGAAACACCAAAACTCTGTACAAAAACCTTTGGAGCAAAGACAACAGAATACTCCACAACATCCACTAGAGGGAGTCACACACTGTTAAACTTAACCTATGAACTTGGAATCATACCCCATAGTGCAAACGTTTAGTTCAACCAGTGGATCTGAGATTTTATCTAATATTTAACAAATAAATACAACATGAATTGCCCATGTATACAGATTAAATATGTGTATGGTGTTGGGATCCAAGGAGACCTTTAAACATGAACATGTTCATTTGAAGTGTTTAAGTGGACCAAAAGGGAAATGTTGGAATATGGCCACATGTGTTTTACACAAAGAAGATGGTCTTTCTTACAGCGGCCTGTATGTGAGTAAGAAAGCCTGATTGTAGTACCAGATAACAGACCCCTCTGCGGGGGGTCAAGAATGCGGCCAAGGTGTGTCATGAAGGCAATAAAACACCGGCCTTTCATTGGTCAGATTCCCTCGGACCCCAGACCCGTTAATCTAAAATCACACACACACATATTCGGCCTAAGCACATACACAAGGGGAGGGATTAAAACCCTCCTGCCCACCGCTGGACTGGCCATCGAGCATACCGGGCATTTACCTGGTGGGTCAGAGGATCACCAACGTTATTACAATTCATGCTTAGGGGAACACGAAGGAACCAAATATAATGAGAATCCATCATCCTCTGTGAACCTTGAATATCTGGATAAAAGCTCATGACAATCCATTCAGTAGTTTCTGAGATATTTCACTGCTGAATATAAATGAGATGTTAGTTTCAAAGTAGTACATAGCCATCTTGTCTACAGGTCACATGGTGATGCTCATTTTTCCCCCTAAAAATGTGAAAACTGGCTTAAATACAATGTTGCTAATGGCATATAGTCTGGATATTACACTGATATGGACCAAATCCATAGTCCTCGTTGTGTACAGAAACATATTCCAAGGAATTTTATATCTAAAATACTTTTAACAGTGAAAGACACCCACTGGATCTTACTGACTAGAACTGCTGCATCCTCATATCAGCTTCAGCTGTGTCATTAGTCTTGTTGGTATTTGGTCATAAACCAAAGTATGGGACTAATTAAATACTGATTAAAGGTCAGAGGATCACCAAAGTTCTTACAATTCATCCTGAGGGGAACATGAAGGAACCAAATATGTCTAATGACAACCATGAATATCTGGATAAAAGTTCATGACAATCCATTCAGCAGTTTCTGAGATATTTCACTGCTGAATATAAATGAGATGTAAATGTTGAGAGTTCCTCAACAGATGATAAAGAGGAAGGACCAATGATGTGAAGGCCCAGATCCATCAGAGTATCAATGTTCTTCCTCTCTCTCCTCCCCTCTCACTGCAGACATGAAACACTGGCTGAGAAACATCCTGATTCTGACTCTCTGGCTAGGTAACTCTTTAAACCTACTGATTGTTCTCCTTTAATCAATCATCTTTATTGATTCATCTCTTCCTCTGCATGTTCTCTTCTTCCCCAGAGTGTAAAGGAGAAGACAGAGTGACCCAGCCACCAGGAGATGTCATTGCTACTGAAGGAGAGACAGTTACACTTGGATGTACATTTGAGAACAGTAACCCAGGTCTAACTTTGTTCTGGTACAAACAGGATGGAATTGATTCCCCAAAGTTCATGCTGAAATGTTTCTCAGATTCATCAGAAAATGCTGCTCAGTTTAAGAAAGACCGATTTAATGCTACAATCAAGAATAAGTCAGTTCCTCTGAAGATCCAGAAGCTTCAGTTGTCTGACTCTGCTGTGTACTACTGTGCTCTGCGGCCCACAGTGACAGGAAACACCAAAACTCTGTACAAAAACCTTTGGAGCAAAGACAACAGAATACTCCACAACATCCACTAGAGGGAGTCACACACTGTCAAACTACAGTGGTATGTGACTGAGATGTAAAGCTTTAGAAATTAAACTACTGACACTGAAATAGAAAGGATTATACCTTTCAGATATAATAAAGCACAATTCTGAATGAAGTAGTGAAGCAGTAAAGATAAAGCACAAAATAAGTGAAATGTTATACATAAAGTCACTTTAACATGTGTGTAACATTTCATAAAATTATATCAACAATTATTGTTACATAGGCAAGTGCTGTAGATACAGGTCATAGGTCTGTACTCTCTTTCTGATTCATATAATACTAACAATCATGATATTATTAACTTCATTTATTTTAGTTTGAGTGAGTCCAATAATTTGACACTAAACGTCTTTCAGAGACAGGTTATAAAGATTTGATCGAGTACATTTTGACAATAATACTAAGTTACAGAGGACAGGGCAGATACAGGACAGAGGCCATGTTTAACAATTAGGACCTCTCTCATTTTTATTATCTTGCTTTTTCTCTCAGGTCTTGCAGGTTGATCAGTAATTGAGTGGTTTGAGTTCATGACTCAAGATGATGCACTCGGTGCTTGGTCAAAGGTTTGTATCCCGACCATGGAAAACTTTAAGAAAAATGTCTTAAACTTTCTGAGCGAGTTTGACATTAGGTCTACGAAATGTTCCAGATCTTTTCTAAATTATTAATTGTATTCAGCTGTTATGCACACTCAAACATATTTTAAACCCATCTTAAATTTTGATTGTTTTGTTATATATTCCAGTTAATCCAGTAATTATGGTAGCAGTTTTATTATTTGTATTATTATTAATAATAATTATTAAAAACTAAAGATTTAACTCAGGACGTTCACGTGCTGTAAAGTGTCAATCAGTGTTACCTTATCAGCTACTTGTTACCTGATGGAAATGATGGCATTTAGTGAATAACAGCAGCACAGCAGTGACAAACACACTATTTGTCAGAGTTGTGAGAGGAAGGAGGGAGGGATTAAGGGAGGAGCAAAACTGAGACTCAAGTACAGAAAAGACAGAAACTTTCACAGTGGTGTTTCATCCAAAAAACAGACAGATTGTCTTTATCTTTAAGATGCTGTCAGTGAACTTCAGTCTGTTTGTGACTTTGTTTCTGCTCACAATAAGAGGTAGGTGAGATCATTAACATTAAAAGAGCTTCATTGATAAAAACCTTTAGATCATAAAGTTACAGAGTTATCTCTTCCTTTAGGTGTCAGCTGTGAAGAACTCACTCCAGTCAAGAAACAAGAGTCCAGTTTAGAAGACAGCACTGTTACTCTGTCCTACAAATACTCCAGAAAAGCTGATGGCAATGAATATTTCTTCTGGTATCGACAATATCCAGGAAAACCACCAGAGTTCCTCATCTCTCACTTGGGAACACAAAATGAAACAACCTCTAGACTGTCAGTTACAGTGAGTGAGGATAAAACCCAAATGGATCTGCAGATCTCCTCTGCTGCAGTGACAGACTCTGCTCTGTACTACTGTGCTGTGAGGCCCACAGTGACAGCAAACCCACAGTCTCTGTACAAAAACACAAGCTGACACACTGACAAGCTGCTGGAAGCCTTTTTTCCACACTGTTGGACTCAACTTTTTAGCTCCACTAGAGGGCGACATTATCAAGTAGGCGGTGCACTACTTCTGCACTGTGTTCAACCATTCTGTCAATAATAACTGCTGCTGTGAAGAGAACAATTGTCACACTGAATGTTGAACATCAGCTAGTTTCTCCTGTTGATTTAAACCTTGTTGTAGAGATGGAACATTGGCTGTGGATTATTCTTGCTGCTCTTTTCTTTGGTAAGATAGAAAGCACAACATGTTTTTATTCTTTTCTAAAGATTGATGGAAACTGGAGTTCAGAGCAGAAATCTCTCAACAGTTGAGCTGTTTCTGTCCACAGAGTAACACTGTACACTTGATATTTTCCACTGTCTTCTCCTCTCAGCCTCATGAACAATGTTAGTCTAATGGCTTCATTTTCTCCACTTTTTCCAGGACTAATAGCTGGAGACACAATCTCTCCTGTAGGAGATAAAGTCAGTGGAAGAGAAGGAGAATCTGTCACACTCAAATGTCAATATGACACAGCATACAGAAATATTTGGCTTCACTGGTACAGACATTCTGACCTTCAGGCTCCTCAGTTTATACTCTGGAAAGGAGAAAAAGGAGAAACACGTCAATACATTCCAGATAATCGATATGAATCTAAAACAACAACTACATCAACTGAACTGACCATCAGAAAACTAACCCTGGCAGACACAGCTCTCTACTACTGTGCTCTAGAAACACAGTGATACAAAGTGTAGAAGAGGCTGTACAAAAACCTGAACACAGATATCTGACTACTCTTCAAAGAGGAGGGAAGTGGTATTCAAACCACAGCTTCATATCAGATGGATTCTGCTAATTCCTGTTTTATCAGAGTCACTGTGGTTACAGCTGCTAATGAAACACTGTGGGAGGATTCACATGAGCAGCAATTTAAATAATTATTTTTGCTCAATTATGTATCTCAAGTGCATTTATCATTACATATTTGTAGCCCGGTGTAAAAGTACAGGGTTTAAAACAAGTTAATTTGTAATACAAATAATTATTTAAGTTAATTAATTAAATAATTCAGTAATGCAAATAAAGTGAGGACGTTTAAATGTCGATTTCACCTGCCTTTTAATTCGAGGGAGACCAGCGAGTCAGCATATGTCCTGAGTAGCAGTGAGTTGCTGATTTTGCTTATCCACAGAAAGTAAATGCATGGTTTCTTGTGTTCTTCGTCAATATAGGTGCCGTAAAATAGTAACGTTTTAGAAGTCATTAATGATGCAAATTACTGAATGTTACATGTTGGTTTGGGTTGTCGTTTTGAAGCTAAGTTAGATAATGTCAAAGTTAACTTTCACCAATGGCTGTTAGCATCAACACCTTAAGATCTCAGGGATTATTAACTTTTTAGTGCATAACGTAAAGTAACTGTTCGCATTTGTTTGTATGTAACGTTATAAAACATTTTTGTAAACTCTCCTTGCATTAGGTGGGCATCGTCACAAAGTTGAAAACGTGTCTTTCTGAACTCACAAACGTGATATGTGAGACAGCCAAGCTACCAACACGATGCAACACACCATGATGTTTTGCCAGAGGTCAACTAGCTAATTATGATATCACCTGTTTAAGTGCACGAGTGGAATCAAAATGTTGCAGGACTACATGGCACATTTTTATTTTTTTATTTTTCCACCTCTGTTGTATACTACAGTATATAAACAAAACGAATAGTGACTGAAATTACTGAGAAATAGCATGCTTCTGCACCATCACTACTTTTATTTTTGATACTTGAGTACATTTTGCTTCTAACATAACATACTAAATTAGTCAAGTGTCTTGTTTTAGCTACTTTCACTTAAGTACGTTTTTTGAATGCCGGACTTTAACCCGTAGTGCAGTATTTTCGTAGTCATTATTACTTCTTCTACATAAGTAAGGCCTCATTTACACTACCTGGTGCAAGTGGCCATTTTACCTGTAAGCAAAGACAATCTAAGTTTGCAGGCTGTATACATTCATTTGAATTGAAGTTCATGTACTATAATTCAAACATGATGCATTTTACTTGAAGGCCTAAGGAAGGTGACAATTCCTGCCAGAGATACAGTTCTGCACGCCTACTGCCACTTTGAGGAATTGACAAGCCAGGATTACTCTTTTTCTTGTTTGCTGTGGCTACTGTCCTCCAGTAGTTGTCATGGACCTACACAAAAAAGGAGTGTTCAACTTCCCTGGTAAGTCACAGTGTCTTGTGTGTTGGGAGGGAGTTATATCATAGTATTTTCAAAACTAGTTAAATGAATTCCTTTTTTTCAGTGAGTGACATCAAAGATGCCCCAGAGAACATTGAAGAGTTCTGGGACTCTGTACAGCTGCAGATGATTTCTCGTGGCTTTGTCCAAAGTATGTATATATTCATTTTTCCGTAAATTAGTAATTACCCTCACTTAATGATGCAATGCACTTTAGCATATTAAGAATGTCACGTGTACTTTTCACCGGTCGTGCAAAGAACAGCTTCAGTGTAAGACCTAGTTTTGAGTACTGGGGCCCATGGATTGGAAAGAATACACTTCAATCTGAGATGGCGTTAAACACAGAATTTGAAAAAGCGTCCTCTGCTAAGTCCTCCACTGAAGTCAGCATGGTGTCAGAGGACCGGCTGGTGGATGAGCTCATGAAGCAGAAAGTAGAGTTGTTGTGTATGCATGTATGTTTGTTTGAGTTGCATTGTGCAGTAACATCTTACTTTATTTCTTGTCTGTATTTCAAAAGGTTTCAACTGTGCGTAAACTGTGCCAGGCCTGTAATTTGGATGCGAAGGGATCGCGGATGGATCTGATTCTTAGACTTAGGCAAGAGATGAAGACACGACACTCATACGACAAGATATTCCAGAAAATCTGGGGAGCATCTGGTAAGGGTCACATTTAACTGCATGATAACTACCTAGGATTAGCTACTTGCACGTTTACTAATAAACTTTTTTTTTCAATTTTCCATTGAAGGTCAGTGATTCTCTGCCCATATGGTGTGGTGTACAGTGTGAAGTTTAACCTGCGTGCAGAGTCTCCACGAGATTTTGCTGACCTCCTTCTATCCTGGAAACTCCTGCCAAATGTCACTGTTTATGACTTTGCTCGGATTCCGGCAACTCATGTCAACCTACGTTGGCCAACTGTGATACCTTTCAAACCACATGAAGGGAGATTGGCTGCATCGACACCACAGAACATCACAGCAGCTCAGCAGAACAAACTCAAGACCTCCCTACCATGGCTGACTGAAATGTTGCAGAATCCTGATAAAGATGGGCATCCATGCACTGGCTCCCCAGACCACTATGTCTTGTATGACAAATTCCATGAGGCCAATACCAAAGACCCTCAGGAAGTGTTGAGGAGGATCAACCTGGTTCCAGAACTTCAGGGTTCATTGAATAGCGAGGTGGCCGAGCAACTTTTTTTCATGTATGCGCAAAAACAACTACTCCCTCAATAACATGGCACCCTCAACACACGTTTTTTTAAGAGAAACCGAATACATCACAGAAACAACAAAACGAATGCCCAGCTTTTAGAAAAGCAACTACAGAGAGGACGTGAGTCACATCGTTTGCAAGACATCACACTGGACAAATTTGGACAAGCAGTATTTGGTAAAAACTAATTTAAAGACAGATGTTTTGTTTCTTAGTGGTAATTGGAAATATAATGCTTATGTTGCCTGATAATGATTTCTTAAACCTCAGGACCCCCAGCACCTGATATGCCTACACAGCATCATCCTGCAGTAGCTGGAACACCTCAGCAGCTACATGGGCTCCCCACCAACCCAAACACAGGTAGGTAGTATGTTTTTAAAAAATCAACACAAAATAGTATTAGCAAGATTTTATATTTTAATTCCCTTTTAATAGACACTAATGCCTGTGGACCACATTGTGAAATGATCACACAAAGTGAGAATGTCAGACCATGCCGAGCATCATGGACCTTCAAGCTTCATCCTGCCCAAGAGCAGCTGGTATGTATTCTTAAAAGAAAGAAAGAGCTGTTTGATATATTAGACAGAGATATGTGCTTCTCATCTTGAAGCCTTACCACCCATGTTCCTATGTTATAATTTTAAATATTATGCTTGTTATGATTTTGTTTTTTTCTTCAACAATCATCAGCTTAAATACGTATTGCACACCGACAACCCAGCGGGCGAGCTCATTGTAAAAACAGGAAAAAGTTGCCTGACCCGAGCTGACCTCTGGGGGCTTGGATTGAACAAGGAAATGGAATCAACTGTGAGTTAACATTTTAACCCATTTAATTGTGAGCTAATTATGTTTGTATGTCATTGCCAAGTTTTTGTTTTTTGTTTGGTTTGCAGATAGGAAATCCGTGCTTTGAAATTATTGAGAAAATTGCTCAATCACAGGTATAAAACATAAATATTGTTTTCGTAATACACTTTTCCTTTTTATATTATATGGGTATTTGCTCACATTTGAAATGTATTCCACAGGGGAAAACCATTTTTGTGGCTGACCTCTATATTGTACCATTAATTTTTTTCATTCATTCATCTTCATCCGCTTATCTGGGGTCGGGTCGCGGGGGTAGCAAGTTCAGCAGAGGACCCCAAACTTCCATTTCCCTGGCCACATCGGCCAACTCTGGGGGATCCCGAGGCGTTCCCAGGCCAGTGTTGAGATATAATCTCTCCACCTGGTCCTCGGTCTGCCCCGTGGCCTCCTCCCAGCTGGACGTGCCAGGAACACTTCCCTCGGGAGGTGTCCTGAGGCATCCTCATCAGATGTCCGAACCATCTAAGCTGGCTCCTTTCGACGCAAAGGAGAAGCGGCTCTACTCCGAGTCCCTCGCGGATGTCCGAGAGTCTCACCCTATCCCTAAGGGAGACACCGGCCACCCTCCTGAGGAAACCCATTTCGGCTTGTACCCGGGATCTCGTTCTTTCAGTCACGCCCCCATCTCTCATGACCATATGTGAGGGTAGGAACAAAGATCGACCAGTAGATCGAAAGTTTCGCCTCTCGGCTCAACTCTCAACAGTGCGATACAAGGACCACAATACCGCCCCTGCTGCCCCGATTCTCTGGCCAATCTCCTGCTCCATTCTACCCTCACTCGTGAACAAAACCCTGAGGTACTTGAACTCCTTCACTTGGGGTAAGGACTCACTCCCTACCCGGAGTAGACAATCCATCGGTTTCCTGCTGAGAACCATGGCCTCCGATTTAGAGGTGCTGATCCTCATCCCAGCCGCTTGACACTCACCGATCCAGTGAGTGCTGAAGGTCAAAGGCCGATAATGCCATCAGGACCACATCATCCGCGAAAAGCAACGAGCCCACCAAATCCTCAGCCCACTAAACTGCAACCCCTCCCCCCCACGACTACGCCTCGATATCCTGTCCATGAAAGTCACAAACAGGATTGGTGATAAAGCGCAGCCCTGGCAGAGGCCAACACCCACTGGAAACGAGTCCAACTTACGACCAAGAATCCGGACACAACTCTCGCTTTGGAAATACAGGGCTTGGATGGCCCTGAGAAGTGGC